CCCTCCAAGACCCATTCCCACGAGGCGTCCCAGAAGGATACCGTGGTCGATGGTATCGAAGGCTGCTGAGAGGTCCAGCAGCACCAACAGGGACACACTCCCCCTGTCGAGCTCCCGGCGCAGATCATCCACTAAGGCGACCAAGGCTGTCTCGGTACCATGCCCCGGCCTAAAGCCAGACTGTGCCGGATCCAGATAATCCGTGTCTACCAAGAATACCTGGAGTTGTGAGGCCACTACACGTTTCAGGACTTTGCCCAAAAAGGGGAGATTGGAAACAGGCCGATAGTTGACGAATTGAGTGGGATCCAGTGATGGTTTTTTCAACAGCGGTTTTATTACAGCTTGTTTTAAGCTGGCTGGAATTTTGCCTTCCCGAAGGGAGGCATTAACCACCACCTTCACCCACTCGGCCAATCCCCCTCTGGCTTCCTTCAGAAGCCAGGATGGGCAGGGGTCTAGGATGCATGTGGTGGGCCTCATTCCTCCAAGTATCTTGTCCACATCCTCGGGTTTCACCAATTGAAATGAATCCATCAAAACCGGACAAGCAGATGCTCGTGTTACATTCTCAGAGACTGCCATTAATATGGTACTGAGCAAAAGCTTCACAGCGAGCTGCCGAGTCATCAGGGCACCCATCCTGCATGGTGGGTTTTAACAGGCCTCTGACAACTCGGAACAGTTAGGCCGGACGGTTCTTTGCAGACGCAATAGTGGCTGCAAAGAAAGTCTTCTTTGCGGCTTTTATTGCTGCGGCATATGCCCTTAAAAAGGACACAAACCGTGTTCGATTTGGCTCGCTTGGATCCGAACGCCACACGCTCTCTAGTTCCCTCTTCGTTCGCTTCAACGCTGCCAGCTCCTCAGTAAACCAAGGAGCTGGTTTAGCTCGGCTACTTGAGAGGGGACGTTCTGGAGCGATCGTGTCTATTGCCCTAGCCATCTCCCCATTCCAGAGAGCGACCAGGGCATCAACAGGATCACCAACCGAGGTGGCGGGAGATTCCCCAAGAGCCGTCAGGAATCCATCCGGATCCATAAGCCTCCTGGGGCAGACCAACTTAATGGGTCCCCCACCTCTGCGGAGATTTGTAGATTCTGTTTTCAGCATTATTCACATAGAGTCAAGACAAAGCTATTGAAAATGTCTTTGATATCTTGAATCACAAGAACTTTCCATTTTTTCCTGTAAATTAGGGCTGGAATTGGCTTGGGCAGTTAGAAATGTGTAACCTACAGTATTTGTTACTGTTTTTAAAATTCATAACCCTGGTTTATGGGATAGTTAGGGACCTCCTCCTGTGAGCAATCTCCATTCTGTCAGCCAAAAGCAGTTAATACATAGGAATCATGAATCATAGAATTGAAAGAGACCTTGTGGGGCATCCAGCCCAACCCACTGTGAAGAAGCAGGAAAATTGCATTCAAAGCACCCTGACAGGTGGCCATCCAGCCTCTGCTTAAAAGCCTTCAAAGGAGGAGCCTCCACCACACTCTGGGGCAGAGAGTTTCACTGCTGAATAGCTCTCACAATTAGGAAGTTCTTTCTAATTTTCTTTGTAATACAAAGCAATCACAAATTTGTAGTGCTAAGTCATGCATTCATATGTCTTAGTGAATTCTGGAATGGGGAATCAATCCTGTATCTTCTCTACCTCCTTCCTAAAAGCTCTTCTGAAATGTCAGTGTTTTCCCAAAGTTCTTTCATTTCCTGCCTGCAAATTTTTAAGAAGAGTAAGTACATTTGGAATAATAGCATTTACCTTTACTAAAGTAAATGTTGGTTCCTGAGGTTGGGTAATAACCATATTTTATAGAAAACATAAGTGCACCGTGGAACTACCGTATTAATTTCATTTGATACTGACAGCAGAAGCCTGTTGGCATTAGTAAGTAGAGAAGGCCTTTTCAATCAATGACATTCACATAACTATTGACTTATCATTCAGGGGGTGATTTACTGCAGTCCTATTCACCCTATGACATTATTGAGTTATTGCAAGGGACCGCTCTGTGCAATCCTGGGTTTTGCATTTCGGTGAGACACTAAAGAACACTGGTTGAGAATTATAAATGTTTCTCCTCTAGCTGCAAATCCTAGAATTCTATGGGATGGAATGACGACAGTTAAAGTGGAAGGATAGTGCTATAATTATGAAGTGTGAATGGACCCCATGTCTACTACAGTTGGGACTACTAACCGAATTTAGGCCAGGGGAAAATACAGTCTTTGAGTACATTTGGATAAATCATCTGAAGCTGAGATAATAATAAAACATCAAGGGAGACAAGAAGTCCAGTGAGTTGGAGTTGAGATATAAAATTTACAGTTGAGTCAGAGAGCTCTATGGGTGCACCTACATTGTAGATTTAATGCAGTTTGGCACCACTTTAAATGCCCTGGCTCAGGATTATGCAATTGTGGAAATTGCAGTCTTACAATGTCTTCAGCCTTACCAAACTACAAATCCCGGGATTCCACAGCATTGAGTCATTGTAGTTACAGTGGTGTTCAACTGAATTCATTATACAGTGTAGATACACCATCTGTGTTGTGAAAGGGCCCCGGACAAATGTTGTATCAAAGAACTGTTACTGATTTCTAAAAGAGAATTTCAGGAGAACTGGGGTATCTTTTCCCATTGCTGCTTTGAGACACGTTTTTGTTTTGGTTCCCTCTTTTGTCTCAACAGCATGACACAAAATATTCTTTAATGCAGGCAAACAATGATAAAATCAGAAGCTTTTTCATTAGAAAACAAATAATGAAAAACTGAATCTCAGCGGGGGGATATTTTTTCCCTATATATAAAAAATATCAAACTGGAGAAATACTCATAAACTTAAACATGGTGTTTGCTTCCAAGTAAATGCCGAAATACTTCTCTATTAGGCTACTCTTGACATTTACTGGCTTATCTACTCAAGCAGAATGAAAGTTGTATTATTTGATGACATTTTGTGTTTCTTACTGTTGGCCACACTTTTCTATCCACCACTATCTGCCTTACTTGCAAATCTTTCATCCATATCTCAGACTCAGTCATTGCTGTACTACAAACTGCATCAATAATAAATTTTGAGGTTATCAACCTTACTTTCTCCCATATTCTAGCAATGTATCTGAATCCAAAACTGTTCTTGAAAGCCAAGTCTTCTTTTGCCCCTCAAGAGAATCCGTTTTATTTCATTTCGCTCTTCAGGCAGAATATTACATTCTGCATGTACATGAGCATTTGTACAAGGACAAATATTTTATAACACTTGGGGAAATATCAAATTACTTTGTAAAGGTGATGAATACCTGTGTCAAGGAGGAGGGAGAGGAAAAGGGGGGAGGAGGAAGTGAAGAAGAAATGGAAGAAAGTATGAAATGATTACTCAGGAAAAACTACCTCTTGAAAATTGAAGTCAGAATCTTAAAAATATAGGATTTTTATGAATGTGTATGAGATTGGGATTGTGTTTTTTGATTACTTCCCCAATTTTATGAGTTGCAGTCTGTACTGTGTGTATCTGTGGTATATGAAAAAAAGGTATGATCATTTTCTTTGAAGGCTATTTTTCTCAGTGCTCCCTGAGCTGCTTCTTTTGGAAGTGAAAGATATAGTTGAAAAGCTCCATGAAGAAGTGATTCAGGGTTTTCATAACTTTCTACTGGAACCCAAAAAATTAGTGATGAAAATCCCTAATAGGGAGTGGTTTCCATGTTGCTGAGGTTGTCTGGGTTTTAGTCCACACTTTAACGATGTGATTCAAGATTCTCAATCCTATCCCCAAAATGGGTTCATTGTTTTGGATAGCTCCTTTAAATGTCTGACTAAAATTCAAAGCCTTCCCATTGACAAAAAAGCTACTAGTTGCTATTCAGGAATATAGCTATAGCACTTCATCCCTAAATAAAAATTCTACTCCTGCCATGAATTTTCCCTCTAAACTGCAAATTTCTAGCATTATAGTAACTTCAAACTTCAAATATTTAGAAATGCAGTTTAGGCCTCCAGAGAAAATGGACAGACAAGTTTACTGAAGGAAATAAAAGAGTTTGAGCCATGAGCCATTTCCTAAAACTCATTTCCTGCAATGCTAGAAAACTGGAACTGAAGCAAAATTTAACTGGGGGGGGGGGTAGAATTCCTATCAGAATTGTTCAGTGCTTTCCTCCCTCTCATCTCTCGTAGCTACGTTCCTACTACTACTAGTGAACAGGGATGAAAGGGGACCTAATGTTAGGTGTATCACATGGGCAATATTTGCCTTGATTCAATAGTCTGAATGACATCATCGTTGGTATTGCTAGGATTGCCTACCTAGTGGTCAAGATATGTGCCTTCAATGCTGACCCTATGCATTTCAAAGGGCATTATAGAAGAACTACTCAGTGGTGGTTTGGCCAATTCCTTCCTCTGAAACATTGCTTAATCATCTGGTATTTATTTGTGGTCACACATTCAAGTTCTAACCAGAATTGCTTAAATTCCAAGTTCATATGGGATTTGATGTTACATATGTACATATTAATGACATAGCAATGTTCCCATCCTCTTTCTCTAGGGCAATATGTGATAGCTGTGTGTCATACACAGTTTCTGTAGACATCTCTTAGATATCTTTTGAGGGAGTTTTATCTAAAGCTGTTTTGAATTAATAAACACTTTGTCTGTCATTTATAATGGATTTCCTTTTAAAACTATTTTTACTTATTCACAGCACTCAAAATCCTTTCACTGTTCAACTAAGTGCTGTACACTCAAGGCAGGATCGTTTGAAATTGTTATATATCACAGTTTATCATAGCTTGGCTTACCTCAATAACAATCCCAGGACATGTCTAATAAATCTTTGAGCAGAGCGGGATGGTTATTTGTGACCCAGCTCATATGAGACAGAAAAGAGATAATACAAGACTGCAGAATACTTGTGAAATGTTAATCAAAATCCTAGATATACTTGATATAAATTCAATTACATTTAGCACACCAATATGCATTACCCACCTTTGTCTCAATTTGTTTTGTTTCTGTGTTCTGGAAAAGCAGTTTAACTCGCGTTTTCCCATCATCTGATGACCCCTTCAGCTGAGAAAACTTGAATCTCCAGAGGACATTCTGGAAAGAAATGCAAAATACAACAGTTTTGTTCAAATTGCTCTATATTTATAGGCTGGATCCATATAAATATGCTTAAACGGGAACTGTAAGAAGCAGGTTTCCATCCTCTTCTCAACTTAAACGGTTCTCCAACTACTCAAAAGCTTACTCCAAGGGCCAGAAGACTCTATGGGATAGAGTTGGCTATAAGGCAGAAAAGGGGCCATGAGGAACCCGGATAAATAAATAAATAAATAAATAAATAAATAAAGCAGGGAAGCTGGCTCCTGCAAGCCTTCTTATGCATGTATTTCTCTTTGCATGGAACTCCACATATATGGGTTTTTATGAAAATTGGGTCTAATAATAAAAAATGCCATAGAAATAAACTGTGTGCGGTTATCATTTTGGAACTATGACAGAAACATGGAATTTTGTGTATGTAACTATATTCACCTGGAGCCCCCGGTGCTTAAACCACTGAGCTGCTAAACTTGCTAACCGAAAGGTCGCAGGTTCGAATCAGGGGAGCGGTGTGAGCTCCCGCTGTTAGGCCCAGCTTCTGCCAACCTAGCAGTTCGAAAACATGGAAATGTGAGTAGATTAATAGGTACCACTCCGGCAGGAAGGTAACGGCACTCCATGCAGTCATGCCAGCCACATGACCTATGAGGTGTCTACGGACAACTCTGGCTCTTTGGCTTAGAAATAGACTTGAACACCGACCCCCAGAGCCAGACACAACTGGATTTAATGTCAGGGGAAAACCTTTACCTTTAACTATATTCACAAGATATTAATAATATAGCCAGTTAAATAAGAAGCATTTTTTTAAAAAAAAATGCTTCAACTTTATTCAGCTTTATTTAATGGAATATTTCATACCCTTATTTTCTGTGTGAAAGTTCATTAACAGAATTTAATGAATGAGGGTGAATTGAAAAACCACTTTTTTCTAAGAGAATCATAGGGATAGTTAAGCTTATAATTGTTTTCACTGTATCCAGATAGAAACTGTATTTTCCACAAGTAAAATGGGAGTAAAATATGCCACAGCTGGGATGCCTAGCAGAAAAAGAAATGTAGGAGAGCCTAAAGTGTGGCATTTGGATAGTACCTAGGTACTAATCCCCTTCTGAAGGCAAAGGAGTTGGTCATTCAGAATAACCCAAATATCCTGGTGTCTAGGAGCAAAACTGATGATTAGAAAACAAAATTTCCCCTGGACAGCATACATGAAGATCAACCGCACTGCAGAATTATAGCAGTTTGAAACCACTTCACCTGTTGAATCCTGGGGTTTGTAGTTTGTTGTGGTATTTATTTGCTATATTTATATACCGCCCCTCTCAGCCCGCAGGCAACTCAGGACAGTTTACAGTACCAGAGTTTTCTGACATAGAATGGTAATTATTTCACAAAACTACAAAGCTCTGAATTCCAAAGCATTGAGCCATGGAAGTTAATGTGGTGTCAAATTGCTATAATTTTGCAGTGTAGATATAGTCTCGGTTAATTAAGAGAGACTAGATACTTTTGTTTGAATGAGAACTCTGCCTGAGCAGACCTGCTTATTGTTCACAGCAAACAGATATGGTGAAAATCCTATTATCTAAACTAACAGAAGGTTGATCTTCACAGCATCTCTCTCAATGTCCTTTTTTCTTACTGCCATAATGTAGTCTCCACTTCCTCCTTCAGTTTTGTTTAAAGTTTTGTTCTTCCTATTAGAGAATCGATATGAGCAAATTGCTGTGCTTCAGCACTTCACAGCATTTTCTAATAAATGGATTTAGTCATAGCAGTATGTTATTGATCAAGTGTTCACTTCTATCATTAAACATTGACAAAGGTAATGTAGATGTAATAATATTATCTTCCTGAGTGTAAGTGTATTGGCTAATTTCACATCAGTAAGCCTTCTTCCCTTAAATCAAGTTTACAGTTTTAAAATCTAATTGAAACTGTTTGAGGAAGGCTTACTTAATAGGTGGAGCCATGTTTCTATGAGTTTTTTAAAAAAAATATTTGGTGTCTTTCAATTTTTTTAAGTGTTGGTTTTGTGCTCATCATATGTTTTTCACCCCTGGGGAAATTGCATACCAACTGACATGTCAATTTATCATTCAATACATATTCAGTGCAATACTCATGTAATTCATATGGATGCATTATTTACTTGATTTACAGAATGGTGTTACCAATGGTAGATAAGACTGCGTTGTAGCCATAACTGAGCTCTAATCCAGACAATTTATCCAAAGCCTGTCTGCCAAAATGGAAATGTAGAAGATTTTCCTATCCTAACTTGTCATTGTTCCAACAGGAGGGACATTTTGTGTGCTTGGTTTTGATCTGTTATACATTTTCAACCTCCCTTCCCAACATGTTTATATCAACAACTCTGATTAAAGTTCAAGTTTTTGGCTCCTGTCTGATTCATATTAAGCATATTAAGTTCCTGGATTAGTTATAAATTGATTTCATTTGGGTATCATCAGTACATTAATGAAACTTTAGTGTAAATGTTTGATGACTGCACCCAGTAGTTGTATAAGATAATAATCATCATCATACTTTATTTATATTCTGCTTTATCTCCCTGAGGGGATTCAGAGCAGATTACAACACACACAGATAGACAAACATTAAATGCCTTTATTACAGTGGAATAACAATGACATACAAATACACCAAATAAAAATAAAGGTTTTCCCTTTCATCTCCGGCTTTCTGGAGGCAGTGCTCAAATCTGGCCATAGGGAGGTGCTCTTGTTCCATTTCCAAGTCAAGGAGCCTGTTGTCCGTAGACGCCTGGTCGTGTTGCAGGCATGGCTGCATATGTGCCTTTATTACCTTCCCATTGACGCAGTGCCTACTGATCTACTCACATTTGCCTGTTTTCAAACTGCTAGGTTGTTAGGAGCTAGGGTTAACAGTGGGAACTCACCCCGACCTGCAGCTTTGAACTGCCAACCTTTAGGTCAGCAGATTCTACAGTTCAACACATTGTACCACTGCTATCCCTGTATGTACCTGTTAGATATTATTGGAGCAGCAAGATTAAGCCCATGAGGTTGAGATTGCAGTTTACTAATTCCACCTCCTATGAAAGCAGGAGCAATACTGTCTGAGATTGGCTTTCAAATCCCAACTACTTAATTTGGATTTAAAAGAACACATTGATCCAGGGTTTGGAACCATGTGGCTGAAGAAATGCATGCAATTTGAAACTCGAATACTCACCCTTGTTGCTAGAGAGAAAAGAAAACATTATTTAGAAGACCAAAAGACCAGACACCTCTGTTTTCATTTTCTTTTCTTTTTAAAAAAGATTTTGGGAACAGTTATTGGGGATTAGAAATTGCTCCCTGTATGCTTATCCACCTGGTCTAATGAGTAAAAAAAGCCCACTAAAAATTCAAATTATATCCACAGTATACTGCCTCCTCTATTTGTTTTCCCACATCGACAATACACGTTTTTAAAACCTGCAGATTCCTATCCCCTAACCTCAAAACAGGTTGACAATAATCTAGAAATGTGTTCAAATTTGGAGTTGTTTTATCATTACCTGCCCAACTGGTTTGCCAAGAGAAGAGCATTAAAAATAGATTTCAACACTAAAGGATACAGAGCCTTCCTATCAGAAGAGGGTCCTTTGAGTGATCTTTGGCATGAGTTTCTGCTGCAAAGTGTTTGTTGTGATAATGAAGAGGGGATGCTGTCACTTGTCAGCTGGCCTTCACCAGAAAGATAAGATAAGTGACACCTTGTCCACTTTTCCAGACAACAGCAGTTGAAACTGATCCAACAAGATCAGATAAGCCTTGGGAAATTCCAGAAATGATAGCATTTACATTAGATGTGACAAGAGTGTTTTAAAGGGTAAATACTTTTAAAATGTATCACAGTTAGCTGTCATGAGTTCATCATTATTAATTGACAGGCACAGTTATACAATGTCCTTTACCAAGACAATTCCATTGGTCAGCATCCTGCTGATGGGCCCAAGGCTGTTTGCTGCCATCACTACCAGAGAATATAAATTTAAGTAAGCTGCAAGATGTTCTTGAGCTACATTTATGGAATTCCCTATAAACAATAGTGCTATCTTTCTTAAAGCATCAGTATGTATATCCATAATATGTTCTAGATTTGTTTTCTGTTTTTCCTTACCTTTGTTTTGTTGTCAAAGCAGGTGAATCCCAAAGTAAAGTCTAACGTAAAACATAAGCTTTCTCCTTGCCAGCTACATGTATAGGTTTTAGACTAAGGAAAAAATAAAGACAGAATAGATTGTAGTAAATAGCATGTTTGTGTTGTTTGAAATATCAGTCAATGTGACCTAGAATGAACGACTGTTAATTAATTTAACCTTGAAGTTTATCTACTGTTACTCAGAATTAAATTATTTCCAATGAATGCTAATTGTTAAAATCATGGGTGGAAGCATTCTAACATAGCTTAAAATTGTATGCCCAGTTTATAAGGAATTTGCAAAGAGTAAATACATGGTGACAGTCCAAGCAAGATTGAAAGGCAATACTAGAAAAGAGCAAATACAGAGCAGGTGCAATGTGATGTAAGCAGGTATCTGCATTATCATGAAAACCAAATAGCATTATATTGCTGCAGTAGATTATGAGTGAAACTAAGGGTGCATCTACAATGTAGAATTAATGTAGTTTGACACCACTTTAACTGCCATGACTCAATTCAAAACTTATGGGAGTTGTTGTTTGGTTCCTACACTCTTTGGTAAAGAAGGCTGAAGACCTTGTAAAACAACTCCTATGATTCCATAGAACTGAGTCAGGACAATTAAGGTGGTGTCAAATTGCATTAATTCTACAGTGTGCATGCATCTGGAATCTCTAGATGGCAGAGGACCAAAGCTTCAGGAATGTGCTATCTTGCACAAATGAATGGTGTCTGTATAGGAGCGCAACATGTGTTTATGTGAGTCTTCTAGTGGCATTCTACTATATTTTATTATAACCCAAAATGTCCTTAGGAAGTATCCATTTCAGCACTCAGTTGAAAAGGCCATCCATTCACACACCATCTTTGGATCTTCTTGACTGTTGGAACTACTTGAGGAACAATTGACATTGTTCCTCAAAAGCCACAGTCAGCCCAGTGAAGCTGTACTTCTCAGGGCTCCGGGGGAGGATGGCATGGAGCAGGTGAGTGCGGCAATGCAGCTTACAATCTACAGGGCTTAGCAACATCACCTTGTGGGATGGGAGGAGAACTTCTGAGTTTCCTGCACCGGGAGGGAGAAAATTGCCTATTGGTCTCCAAACAGCTAGGCATTGGTCAGCAAGTGTTATTCAACTGCTTTACAGGAAATAGAAGAAAAATGTGGGGGAGAAGTTTGGTTATTATAAAGTGGGCAACCTAGGAAAGAATGAATGTATCAGACATGGCCCAAACCTGGATCCATGCTGTGGTCATGCCTTATTTATCACCCAGTATACATTTTATGGAATCTTGTGGCCTTTTATGATGAATAATTTATTATACATTTGTAACCAACCCTCCCCTTTGCTGGGATCTGCTGCAAGACTGGTTATGTGTGCAGACTATTACTTAGCCAGGCACTTGCAAAATAGACATATCACAATGGAGTTAATTGGGCCCTGACAGCAGGAGGCCAGGTTGGGAAGCTTATATTGAGTTTACAATAGCTTCTTCTGTATTGACAATTTAGGTCATGGGATTCTGTTTGCATCACCCATACAAATTACAGCATAAGTGCTCCATTTATACTGAATCTTATTCCTTTTGGAATTGCCACTGAAAAAAGTGAAGAGTGTAAAGATCCCTTACCTTGCCAGCCAGGGTGGCAGGGCCCAGGAAGAGACAGGCTAGGTAGTTTCAGCTAGAAGGCCTGGCAGGGAGAGCTGCTGGAGCCATCTTAGTTTAGGGAAAAGCTCCAGTTCAGAGAGGGGGAGTGGCCGAGGCCTGTGCCAGCCCAGCAACAGCCAGGATTGGTTTAGAGAAGAGGGGCGGAGTTAGCCAGATGGAGGGAAAGAGAAGAGATAGTTTTGACAGTGGAGTTTTAGTTTTTAGTACAGCTGAGTTCTGAGTAGAGTAGAGAGCAGTTTTAGTTCTGGAGAGAGATTAGAGTAGGAGTTGGATTGTTTAGGAGTCTCTGTGAAGAAAAGGCAGTTTGCCTGTAGTTTGCACAGCACAGTAGGCTGTGGCAGACTGAGTTACAGCTATTTTGAGAAAGAAAATAGCTGGGTTTTGTGTTTGAGAAATTGTAACTAAGAAAAGAACATTCTCTCAAGTAACCAATACGCTTATAAGAAACAAGAACACTTTTATCTGTAACCATCAAGCCTCTGAACCTGCATTCTCGTGTTATTCTGTAATTTATAATCAATAAACTCTTTCTTGTTATTTTTAAACTTAAAGCTTGAGTCAAGTGCCATTTTTTTGGTTTTGAATCCCTTTCCTTATTGAAACAACCTCTCCTGGTTTTCCCCTCAAAGAAAGCCCTTGATAATATACAGCCTTTGGTGAAGTAAAAAGCCTTGTAATAGTTTAAACAGCCTTTTTGACATTTCTAAATAGCTAGAGAGTTCGTGATTTCTTTTAGTTTGGTGGCAGCGAAGGTTTTACACAACGTGACATCCCCTCAAACACTATTAGAGCCAAAGTGGGGTGAATTCCTTATTGAAGGAAGGACAGTGGTGGGATTCCTTGACCCCCCTGCCCAGATAAGTCTCTGAGTCCTTATAAAGAGCACAAAACATAGGGGCCAGAGTTTAGGGTGATGGGGTAAGGAGCCTGATAGCTACTTCCTAAAGGTGTCCATTGGGTTGGATATGCTAGTTTCATGGTACATGTCTACAAGGACATTTCAGATGTCAATATATGGGATGGTTTTAAGCTTTAGTATTTCTTTGCAGATTTTCCATATCACCCATTTATGTTTATGGCAATTCAAAACCGGTTAAGCTTATAAAACCCATAGTTAGGTAACAGATTGATAGGGAGGTTCATCTGGCAAAGTTTATCAGGCTTAGAGAAAGATGATTCCAAGCAGGTCTTTTGCTTTCTCCTAGTTCATATCAAAACATTTTAAATACTTGGTTTGTCACTGGGTGGTCACTTCTACATGTATCAGATGCCCCTGGTGTGTGTGTGTGTGTGTGTGTGTGTGTGTGTGTTTAGTCCCATATTCTGCTTTTGCAAAGTTCAGTGCATGGTCCACTTACCTTACCTGTTTAGGTATACAAATGGCTATCAATTAACAATGTTGTTATCTTGCAAATGGCAAATTATAGGAAATAAGGAAAGTCACTGCACAGCTTGCAGGAGCTAGCTGACCATCTGGTGAGGCCTTTCTGCATGTTTTTACTGATGCAAAGCCAGGGTGCATAAACCTTAGGCCCTATCTATACTGGAACATTTAATGTAAATCAAAGCTAGCTTCAAACTTCAGAAGAACAAACTACCAGAAAAGTATGAAAAAGACCTTAATGTCCATCAAGTCTCCATAATTTGTGTTATTAATCCAGGTCTCAAACTGGTTTTAGGATTTCTTAAGTAATGATCTGCATAGCAAAACCACTTTCTTCAATACTGGTTTCGAATTGCATTAAATAGTCAGTGCAGATGAGACCACAGTCATAGGTTTTAGGTCCCCCCCCCCCAATGTATTGGGCATTGAAGATCTTTAGCTTTCAAGATATATAAAAATCCTCTCAAGTTTTGATTGTATTGCTACTAACTAATGCTTTTTAGTGTTAGGTTCTAGGGACTATTTGGAGAGACGATGGTCTTGATCTGCAGCCATAGTACGGTTTACCAGGTTTCATGACAGGCCCACCATTGCCATATTGGCACTCAGCTAGGGTTCAGTGAGTATGCCACAGTGGCATGGCTTTATCAAACAAATGTGTTGCTTCTTCTATTTGAGAAGTGTACTAGGGTTCTTTCTCATGTTTTAATCATTTGCCTCAGTGGGAATGACTTAGGCTTTCTTATGGACAAGTCCTCATTTCTACAAGATCTATGTGATATTTCAGGACATAAAGAGTAGATGTTCAAGTGTTGATGACTTTGTCATATCAAGTTGGGCAAGGCAAGGGGATTCCAGATGCCTTGACTTTGCCTGTAGAAGTTAAGCAAGTAAGTCATGGATGTTATGAATAAGAGTTGGGGCACCTTCTATCACATCTCATCACCTGAGCTCTAAAGAGCTGATTATATTCATTCCTCAAAACAGGGTAACATGCTATTCTGGGAGGATTTGCAAGAAGTTCACATTTGCTTTATAAACTGAATAAACTGGTCCAATTTCTTTGTATTGTATAATAAATGGATTGAATATTGCCATAGTGGACGTGCAAATTGCGAGGCCCATAGCACCTCACAATTGGTTATGTTGGTTAAGGCTAATGGGCACTCTAGGCAAAGCATTTCTTGAGGACCACTGTTGCCCACACATGCCACATTGAGATGTGCTACAAGAGATCCATGTGGTCCTTAAGATTTTGAATTTCTAAAATGAGATTTTAGTGAATTGGACCTGGTGAAATGACAAACAATGACCATGAAAACGAATAATGCAATATGTTCCAATACATAATGAAAACAATCTACATCTTAATTGCATAATTAAAACTGTTCTTCTGGTAACAAACAGATAATTATCTTTTAATGACCCTATAAATCTAGCCTAATTTAACTGCTATTAATATCTCACTTGAATTTATAGAGCCCATTACAAAGACCTTTTTTCCTTTTTTGTTTTCCAGGAGAAATCATCATTTTTTAAAAGTATAATCAGAAAGAAGGAAGGAAGAAAGAAAGAAAGAAAGAAAGAAAGAAAGAAAGAAAGAAAGAAAGAAAAGAAAAGAAAGAGAAATAATTTTAATTATTGGGTTGCTGTGAGATTTTCAGGCTGTATGACTTGGTTCCCACCTGAAAAAACTCACAGCCACCCAGTGATTCTGGCTATAAAAATCCTTTCATAATTTTAATTATTGCTTGGATTTAAAGGCTACTTCCCATCAGCAATTGTGGGCTTACTACTGGATTACATGTGGAATTCACTGTGACATGATATAGTGATGGCCACTAGCTTACATGCATCAGTCAACCATATCCATGGAAGATAAATGTGGATTTTCCACATGTTGAGCCAGAATGTATATATGTGTGTGTGCATGCACATATGCCATGCTGGGTGATATATACAAAATATCTATTTCTGTATTAACTGATGTCATGTGTTGTGTTATTTGTTGTTG